CCATAGCGAACCATTCCCGTCACTACTGCCAGGTTCCGAAACGTAGTGGTGGGCTGCATTTGTTTCAAGGGGTGACGGCCAGTATCGTCTAGAGTTGTTCATTCTTGCAACGCATGCTTCCCAGTGCAGGGCGCTCCCAGTGCTCCCCAGTTCTTTCCGTGCCCAGCGCAGCATCCAGTGCCCAGTTTCTAACACACTTGGTGTGTGCCTACACCTGTCTACTGGATCGCCCTCTTCCCTACTTACAGGGCCTGCCTGTCCACTTCCAAGCCACTGCGCAGCATGGCAACCCGCAGCGTGGCGAGGAATTCGGCGAACGGGTCCAGAGAACGGCGTGAAGGGAGGCTCAAACAGCTGCTGGGTAAGCTAAGCTTCCCCAAGCCACGAAAAAAACGCCTGCGTGGCCGCTTCGACCCGCCCTTAAAGCATCTGGTAGCAAAGGCTGCTCTGGCCACTCACCTTTCCGCACGTAGTGCAGGATGTTCTGTTGCACAGTCGCCTGCACCAGTATTGAATTCTTATTCTTTCTGCAATTTGAGGGTCGCCCGTGTCCCTGTGTTCGTTAAGCATGGCATCCTCACTATCCTCACTGCTCCCTTGTGTTAGATGTCCTGACGTGTCGACTGTCGTGTCGACCGTCGTGTCGACCGTAAAGGCAAATGTCTTGCCGAGATACGGATCGCCACGTGTCCTAGAGAGATCCAGCAAAGCCAGCACGCTTTCATAAGGTGCTTACAGCATGAGGTCAGGTCCAAGGGGGTGATGCCCAGTATCGTCTAGAGTTGTTCATTCTCGCAACGCGTGCTTCCCAGGGCTTTCCCAGTGCTCCCCAGTTCTTTCCGTGCCCAGCGCAGCATCCAGTGCCCAGTTTCTAACACACTTGGTGTGCGCCTTCAACTGTCTGCTGGATCGCCAATCCCTGTCCCAGCATGGCAACCCGCAATGTGGCGAGGAATTCGGAGAACAGGTCCAGAGAACGGCGTGGAGGCTCAAACAGCTGCTGGGTAAGCTAAGCTTCCCCAAGCCACAGCAACTAGCCGCAACTAGCCTGCATGCCCCCTTGGACCCTTAAGGATCTGGTAGCAAAGGCTGCTCTGGCCTCTCACCTTTCCGCAAAGTAGTGCAGGCTGTGTTCGTGAAGCATGGCGTCCTCACAGTCCTCGCTGGTCCCCTGTTTTGGAAATAGCTACACTCGTGGATTCGTGTCAACGGCCGTGTCGACCATAAAAGCACTTGCCGAGATGCGGCATCTTTTCCGCGTGCTCGAGAGAGCGCAAGCAAAGCCAGCAGTCTTTCATCGCCAAATTTCTTTTTGAGTCATAGAGTGTCAGGTTCACAAGATTCTGCGATCATGCACATCCATGTGCCTGGTCCTCCTCGGAAGATGGTCACCGTCTACGTGGCATGTGGTCCACTGCAGGCGTGTTCCTGAGACTCGCAAGTTGGATGCTTTGAAGCAGGCGGATTTGGAGTACGTTTCGGAGTTGAGGGTTTCAAGCTTACATAGCATTCAGGATTTAAGGGTTTCCGAACATAGGGGGTACCCTTGAAGGGGATTCGATTTTATTTGGGGTATACAAGGGGTACCCCTATGTTGGGAAATGCCCATTTACGGTCCAGTGTGGCATCTAGGGGGTTAGTCCATGCTTTGGCTGCAGGAAAGCATAGGTGCCTTCGAGCCTGGCTTCTGAATGCCCCGAGCAGACCGCGCGTGCTCCATGGAGCAAAAACCCTTCCCTCCTGGCCTTTGGCCAAACTCTTTCGGGGTTTGAGGCCCTTCGGGTTTTAGCATCGGCTCAGCTCTAAGCTCTAGTGGTTTAGGACCGGGTGTTTTTGGTAAGGTCAGTACTTTCAGGGAGAGAGGGTGACGCGGGTGACCCGGCCGAAGACTTCCCATCCCTGGGCCTCCCAAGCCTGGCATTTCATGCTCGACTCGCATCTGGCGCAGGATTCAGTCAGGTTTCGTTTAGGGTTTAGGGTTTAGGGTTTAGGGTTTAGGGTTTAGGGTTTAGGGTTTAGGGTTTAGGGTTTAGGGGTCTCTGGGTAAGTTGGAAGCTGCCCCGAGAGCACCTGCCTGTGTAGGATGTCCTCCTAAGCCTGGCTTCCAGTCGGGTCCGACTGTGGTTGTCCTTGAGACATTTCTTGCTGAACATGGCCAAGGCATGCTGGTGACCGGATGCTGCAGTGGAAGAGGGTGCTGTTTTGTGTGGCACGCTCCTTCAAGGACTTGCTCGCATCATTGAGTGGTATTTGGCATGGACAGACTGCTTGCTGAATTGGCTGCACCTTCAATTTTGGCACTTGACACGTTTTCCTTCGAGTGGAAGTTGTGGCGCGCTGGCTGTGGAAAGCACGGTGAGGCTCCGAGATGTGCTGCAGAGCAGTCAGACCTGGAATCGCTGCCGTTCAGGGCCCCCCTGCAGAGATGGACGTCGGCAGCGCCATGTAAAGAGCTGGTTCATCTAGGCAGGCACGTCTCGGAGAGAGGTACCTTCACCACTGCTGAAAAGTTCCTCTTGATCTGCTGTTGCAGTCCTTTCAAATGCTCAAGAGCCTTAGAAGACCTTGGCTTTGGCAAATTCCCACCACCTCAGCACAGTGTTCTGGCCCATATTTGCCAGCCATCAGAAGGGGATCAGCCCAGCGACTTTTGCTGATGGCTCTGCTCACACCGCTGTTTGCTGTGCCTTGTACTTCGCAGTATACTGTACTTCACCCAAAAGCACAAAGGTACACTAGAATATAGTTTCCAGAAACTCTAGTCGACTCTCTGCAAGTAGACGACGCTGGAGGCAAGGGCCAAGTCAAGTTCCAGCCTTGAGCTCAAGAGTTTCAACGCAGGCAGGCCCATCTTGCCCTATCAGGAAATACAAGTGCAATGATCCAAGGCTACCGAGGCGGAGTTTAGGGTTTAGGGTTTAGTGTTTAGGGGTTAGGGTTTAGCTGTCGGCCGGGCATCTTTCTGTGGCTCCCGAGAACTTCCAGCTTGCAAAGCCTAGCTGCCTTCAACAATGACAAGGTGGGGGTTGGTTTTAAATTATGGTCCGTTTTGGGGCACCCTAAATATTAAGAGACAAAAACTACCACAGGGCCCAAAAAAGGGACCATGATTTAGAACAATCCCCCATGTCTTCTTGCCCTTCGCGATGGAACGTTAAGGCCCCAAACCCTGCCACAACTCGCAGGTTCGAGTAGTGTTGATGCCGGCTCACACCTGGAACTTGCAGAAGGAGACTTTTGTGGGCCGCCTTCTTCAGGCTTGTCGCCGTCTTATTCCGGGCTTGTAAGCAGGCTGGAGCTCAACTCATGCTGTGCAGCCTAACCCTGAGGTCGTGTGTCTAACCTGAGTGCACAAAGCGTTACGGCCCCCGATGAAGCTTCAAGACGACAGGCCTCACTGTCTTTGACACGTCCGTCGCCGGCTTTCGCAGCGTTCTGCATGTAACTCCGTTTGGAGACACGTGCCTCTTGCACAGAGGTGCTGCAACCGTTCAGCCAGTCCGCATACGCCACGTCGCTGTTGTAACCCTGCTGTGTGGACGCCACTCTGTTCAGCAGGCATCCTGAAGATGTTGCCTGCAGGGAAGGCGGTGCATTTCGGAACTCCTAAGCTCCGTAATCCCGGGAAACGCAACACGTTGACTGCGCTGGCGCAACACAGGAGCCGTCTCCCGCGCTGAATCGGCCGCAAGCTCAGCCCACGAGAGGGCACAAGCAGAACCTGCTTTCAGTGCGGACTTCCAAGAGAACACAGCTGCCAAAGTCCTGATGGCTTGAAGCCCAGCAAACCGTGTCGTACCCTCTGCGAGTCGCGATCTGGCGGTTTCTGCAAACGTGGGCTCTAGGCCTACTGATTCATCCCACTCGGGCGTGACTGACTCAGTTTCCTTTTTGGGGGGTCCCCATGCAGAGGAGCCTTTCTGTTACACAACTGGGCTCCGTTTGTGAGAAGCTTCCAGCTTCCGACTTCCGGATCACTGGAGGTTGTCCATGGGCAGGCTGCAAGCATGCTTCTTCGTTCTTGTTTCTCCTGTGCAGACTGGGATAGACTGGGTCTCAGTTCCTTGGGCATGTACCCCGCATATCCAAGGACCCAGTGGTAAAACGTAGTACGAAAGACCAGGAAGTGTCGGGGCATGTGTCCCCATCAAGCCATGCAAGCTTGTAAAAGCCTCGGAGCAGTGTTGGCTCGAACTGGGTCACCAGACCTGTCAATCAGTGGGTCAACAGAGCCCTGGGAACTCCAGAGAGGTGAAGCCCTCAAACTCTAAGCCCCCCAAAACCCCAACCAGACCCAAACCCCAATGACCCAACCAGCCTCAACCCTAGACAGCCTAAACCTAAACCCTAAACCCTAAACCCTAGGCCCTAAACCCTAAACCCCAAACCCTGAACCCTAAACCCCTAAACCTTGCCTCCCATATTGAACCTTGAGATCCTCAAACCCCAAGGCCTTTGCCTTGCCCTCCTAAGGGCTTCCAGGATGTTTGAGTTTAGGCTTTCAAGGGGTCAAGCGTAGGGTTTGGGGGGGTCTAGGGTTGAGAGGAAGGGTTTCCTTCAACTTGGGAGCTTCTTTCCGAGGGTTGGCTTTTGCAGACGCGCCGGTCTTAGACTTTGTCGGTGGCCCTGGGGGGCTCCCTTTCACAACCTTTGCTTAAGGCCTTAAATCCACCGAAGCCCCCAACACTCGGCACGAGCCCACACCCTAAAACTTACAAACCCAGAGTATGGTGCCTCCGGGACGTGTGCCAAAATCATGAGCCATGTGGGGCTTCAGGGCAAGCCCAGAAGATTGCTCTGCCCAGCGTCATGCCCTAGGCTAAGCGAGCCTTTCTGTCAAAGTCAAGTGGCAGGGTCTCTGGGCTGTCCTCGCTGGGATAGAAGCAGAACCCGCCTCCCTCGGGCCCCAAAGTAGGGTTTTCGGATGTAGGGGCCCGCCAGAAGGTCTTATGAGATGATGACGGTGTTCTTGGGGTCTTACGGTTTTAGAGGTTGAGGGGTCAAGCCAGATGGCACAGAGCCGCAGGCTCCATGTGTTGAGTCGCTGGGGCAGAGGCCAGTGAGGCCATTGAGCCCATATTCAGGCCATTGAGGCCATTGAGGCCCTTGCTCATGGCGCCCCTTCGGTCGCTTCGGTCGCTTCGTTCGCGGTCGCTTCGGTCGCGGTCGCTTTGGTCGCTTGGGTCGCTTCGGTCCTCCACCTTCATGGTCTGCACGAGGGACAAGAGCTTGCAAACCTGCACCGGCAGCGACAGCAAGCCGATGAGGATGGCGGCCGCGGTCACAACCCGGTCCTGTGTGCTCATCACGGGAAAGGGTGTGGCCTGGGAAGGGAACATGCTGAGCGTGTAGAGCTGGCGACTCCGTTCCCGGAGGCCTTGGTGGTTTCAGCCATCCCTAAACCCAAGAGCTGCTTCAGCGTCTCCCTGGAGCCATCCGTAGCGGGAGATGCGCCGTAAGTGGCCAGGTCACTGCCAGCAGATCACCACATCCTTGCCGAGCCATGTGCCCAGGAGATCCCAGGAGTCTAGCTGTCGAGCTTCCTCCAACGTGCTGGCCTTTGTGTATGGCTGGAACAGGAGTCCCAAGGTGTGTGCTGTGCCAACGTTCCTGGAGAAGGCCTGTGTGGGACCTCGTACCTCTCTGAAAGGCGTCCTTCAGAGGCCGGCGAAGCACCGAAAGCTGCTGCTCTAAGCCAACATGGTGGCTATTGCACAGAAAAATGTTGCGTACGACTGCCTCTCTTACTTCATTATCTGCGACGACGATGTCAACTAATGTCAACCACGGCAACTTTACGACGAGGATGGCTACTACTAGTGCTACTACGACTACTGCTGCTGCTGCTGCTGCTGCTGCTGCTGCTGCTGCTGGGGGGGGGGGTTGGGGGGGTGGGGGGGTGGGGGGTTCGAGGTGCTACCCATACCTACCTACCTACGGCCCGAGGCCTCGGCGGACACATGCTTCCATGGCGCTTGATAAATTCTGTGACAAAATGGATGCTGCAGAAGCAAAATTCGCTTTCAGACACAAATCCATGACTCTTGAATGAAGCTGGTCCAAAGCGCGCTGGGCTTCAAAGGGAGTCTCCAAAGGAACTCCTTTGCCCTCTTGCTCGCGGGTCGTCTGCAGCAGCCGAGCTGCATCAGAGAATTGCTCAGGGCTTCAGTTTATGCGTTTAGGGTTTGGGGTTAGGGTCAAAGCAGTGTGGGGATGATTTACCATTGACGCGCATCAAGTCCTGCAGCCACCATGGGTAGATACCCTAAACCCCAAACCCTGAATCCACAACCCTAAGCCTTAAACCCTATGTTTAAACATACACCTACTTTTTCGCATCCTCAGTGTGCGCAGGACATTTCTGCTCCTTCCTCGCCTTAAAGTATACCAACATATGGGGGGTTTCCGAAAATATTTTGGAGATGGAAGGCTGCTAAGTTTACTTCCCTAAGCCCTAATTCCTAAACCCTAAACCCTAAACCCTAAACCCTAAACCCTAAACCCTAAACCCTAAACCCTAAACCCTAAACCTGTGTGTGCTTCGACCAGGCCATGTCCAGCATGGGCCATATCCAGGCACCTTGCCGGGTGGAACGTCAGCTTCGGCTCGGGGAGGCTTAGGAAACCCTCTGAGTCATCAGGTTTAGGGTTTAGGGTTTAGGGTTTAGGGTTTAGGGTTTAGGGTTTGGGGTTATAAGGCGGATGTTCGCACTTATACTAACAGTCCGAAATAGGGATTCTAGTGCCCCCTACTATAATCCCTATTCAGGACTCTTAGTGTTTGGGGGGACAGACCCTATAAGCCCTATACTGCCTGAATTTTAGGGTGTAGATAGGTTTGGGCTTTAAACTGTTTGGGTTTAGGATTCGGCTTCGCCGTTCTGTTGGGGTGCAGAGGGTTTAGGGATTCGGACATTTTTTTAATTATATTTGTTGTTGTCTTTTTGTTTTATTTTTATTTTTCTAGATTTTTTTTTTTTTTTTTTTTTTTTTTTTTTTTCTGTTCGTTAGGGGTTTAGGGGGTGTTTTAAGTTACTTGAGGTTTAGGGTGTAGGGTTTGGAGTTTAGGAATTGGGTTCGTCGATCGGGCACCGGGAAGCGATATCAACCAACAAGCCACCATGTTGGTCTACTGCTCTAGAATATGATAACCCTAAACCCTAAACCCTAAACCCTAAACCCTAAACCCTAAACCCTAAACCCTAAACCCTAAACCCTTACTTTTGGGTTTAAGAGCAGCGGAATCTAAGTTCCAACCGAGTTTGTCGGTTTATCGGGCCTGGATGTGACCTGCTTGCACACGCCCTAATGAAACCCTATCCCTAAACCCTAAACCCTAAACCCTAAACCCTAAACCCTACACCCTACACCCTAAACCCTAACAATCCTACACTCCGAAACCGTAAGCTCGCGGGGTGGTCTGACTCGGACCCAATCGTGGTGCGATTGGAGCTTGATCGGCATCCGCTTGGTATAGTGTGTTGCGGTTTAGGGTTTAGGGTTCAGGGCCTAGGCTTTAGGATTTAGGGTTGAGGCACGGTCATTTGAATTAGGGAGTGTAGTGCGCACATCCTCTGAAATGGACAGCCACCTCACCTTAGTCCCTTGAATCTGGGCTTTGAAGCCGGGTAGCCCCACTCGAAACATATGCCTTTGCCAGGGACCCGTCTTTGCGGATGCGCCGTTCACTGTGAGTTATCCCATGCCGCCTACTGTGCCGATGTGCTGCGCCTTGGCTGTCCGAAGCCTGGGAATGCGGGCTTCGTGTCGGCAGAGTGTATGCCTGGAATGGGTACGCGTCGAACGTGTTGCTGTCTGGGTGGGGTGAAAGCCCTGACCCCTTCAGCCCCACGGCCCTAAACTCGGAACAACAAATCCCGAAACCACTCGACCTCGACCCTCCGAACCCTAAACCTTAAACCCTAAACCCGAAACCCTAAACCCTAAACCCTAAACCCTAAACCCTAAACCCTAAACCCTAAACCCTCAACCGCCTAAACCCTAAACCCTAAACCCCAAACCCTAAGCCTGAACCTCAGGTACCTGCTGTATCAAGCTTCCGAAGATTCGTGGAATTCCTAAAGGCTCGGTGCCTCTTTCGCCGGAGGCGTACGGAGTTGCAAAAACGTGCTGAGGGTTTACCTAGATTTAGCTAAACCCTAAACCTTAAACCCTAAACCCTAAACCCTAAACCCTAAACCCTAAACCCTAAACCCCAAACCCTAAAGTTTGGTTCTAGGTTCCCTTAGAAAGTAACGAACCCCGCCAAAAAAGTACCAATATCATGTTTCCTTAAATGGGATTGAACTAGGGGAAAATCCCTACTAAGAACGGCTAGTATAAGGGGCAACAATCCCAACTCGAAGGAGTCGAAGGACTTGCTGAAGCAGCTGGAAGGGAATTGGACACCCGACTGCGCAATGAATCACATTGCCGGCAAAAATACGAATCAGAGACCAGAGGGTCCAATCAGAGACCAGACACACCGAATCAGAGACCAGGCTCAGAATCAGAGACCAGACAGGCAGAAACCGAGACCAGATTCCAGAATCACCCCCCTCAGGATCAGAGACCAGACAGGGCCGAATCAGAGACCAGACAGGGTGGCATCCGAAACCAAAGGGACGTCAAGGGAAAGCAAAGGGTTCATTGTTGTAACCACTGGGTTGACCGAAGTCGCTAGCCACGGCTTCTCGCACTTCAGGATTTAACGTGAATGAGGGTTTGAGGTTTACACGTGAGGCTTTGGGGTTTAGGGTTTCGGGTTCACAGTTTAAGAAGCATCCACAACACAGATTCTTCCGTATCAGGGCAACCGAGGCATCGAGGGTTTGGAAGGGATTCGCTTGAAGCAGGCCTGCCCGAGGAAAATAGAAAAGCGGGGGGGTTGGGGGGGGCGCAGCCCCCCCCATTTGCAAACACAATGCGCGCATCATGGGTTTGGAAGCGATTCGTTTGAAGCAGGCTTGCCCGAGTAAAAAATACAAGCGGGGGGGTTGGGGGGGGCGCAGCCCCCCCCATTTGCCAAGACAATGCCCGCATCGTGGGTTTGGAAGGGATTCGTTTGAAGCAGGCCTGCCCGAGGAAAATAGAAAAGCGGGGGGGTTGGGGGGGGCGCAGCCCCCCCCATTTGCCAACACAATGCCCGCGTCATGGGTTTGCAAGGGATTCGTTTGAAGCAGGCTTGCCCGAGTAAAAAATGGGTTTGGAACGGATTCTTTTGAAGCAGGCCTGCCCGAGTAAAAAAAAACGGTACAAAATAAAAGCGGGGGGGGGTTGGGGGGGGGGTTGCCCGAGGAAAATAGAAAAGCGGGGGGGTTGGGGGGGGCGCAGCCCCCCCCATTTGCAAACGCAATGCCCGCATCATGGGTTTGGAAGCGATTCGTTTGAAGCAGGCTTGCCCGAGTTACAAACAAGTTGGGTTGGTCGGGGTCGGGTCAGGTAGACTCCTCTGGGGCGGGATGCTAGGTCGTGAGTCGGGTCACGGGTCGGGTGGGTTGCTTGGTCAGGGGTCAGGGGCCGGTCGGGTGGGTCGGGTCGGGTTATTACTGCGTCACAGGACGGTCCGTGCCGACAGCATTCTGCCACGAGGGTACGTCATGGTGGCTGAATGCATTGGTCTACTCTTTCGGTCGCTTCGCCCACTGCTGCGGGTCCCTGGCTGCTTGGGTTGGGTTGGTCGGGTTGGTTGGGTTGGTCGGGTCGATCGGATTGGTCGGAGCGGTCGGGCGGGTCGGGTCCGGTTGGGTTGGTCTGGTCGGGTGGGTTGCTTGGTCAGGGGTCAGGGGCCGGTGGGGTGGGTCGGGTCGGCTGGAGACGGTCGGGTGCCTGATTCGGCGAGCCTGGTCTCTGAATCCCATGTCTGGTCTCGGAATCTGGGAGCCTGGTCTCTGAATCCCATGTCTGGTCTCGGAATCTGGCTGCCTGGTCTCTGAGTCTGGTCCCCTGCTGGTCTCGGATTCCCCCCTCCTGGTCTCTGATTCGGCCCTCCCGGTCTCGGAATCTGTTCCCCTGATTCGGCCTTCACCCAATCACATTGATGTGGGGGTTTCCAAAAATTAGGGGGGGGGGGGTTCATTTTGGATTTCGATATCACAAGGACTAGAGAGTATTCTTGAGGTACTTAAGGGGTTACGGATGGCTCTATGACCCAGTTTAAGTTACGTGTCCGGCATGCTACCAGCAAGCTACTTCACCACAGCCGGTGATCGGTGCTTCGAACTCAGCTTCGGCCCTCCCCTAAACCCTAAGTCCCAAATTAGGTCGTTTAGAACCCGAGGGCTTGGAAGCTCGAGAAGACCCAAGCACTCGGCCCCTTTGCACCGAGGAAGGTCACGCC